TGAATTTGATCCTCAGCAAGCTCGCGGGACACGGAGTCAGCACCATCACCACCAGGACGGGACTGTGCCAGTGACTGAGCCTCCACAGTCTTGGGCTCGGTTGTCAGCCTCTGGAAGCCGTCTAATAGGAGGAAAGATAAAATGACAGAGAGGAGGATTAGATGAGGCGCGGCTACCACTGAACCGTAGCCATTCGATAAAAATGCGGGGGTTCCAGGCGTACCCGCCAAATTCGAACTTTATAGCCGCAGAAGTTCAAAAAAAAGAAGAATGTATAATCGGAATCGATTATGTGCAAACCCCAACTTCCTCCCCTCTGTATTCGGCAGGACAGGGAATAGGAAACTGCCCCTCCCCCTCTGTGGTTGGGAAGGGCGCCCCCAACACACCAACCCTAATCTTAACCTTTAACCCGAATTCTAACCTCAAACCTAACATTAAAGCAATTTTCCCTAGGATATAGCCAGCAAGCAACCTGTATTACCTATTCTTTCAATTCCCTGGACTAGCAAGGGGGGCGCATCAATTATCCCCACCAAATTTATTCAAAAGCCACCAAAAGACGGCATCCTATAAATACTACCACTCCCTGTGTACGAACCGCCCGTTTTTGCTGCTGCTAATACTGATGATGGTTTCGCGACGAATTTCGAAACGCCAGGCGAATAAAATGCTTGGCCTCGCGTTCGCAGTTGATTCCTCTCAATTTCTTCACGCAGCTTCACTCGTATTGACAGTCATTCTTGTCTTCGCACCAGGCACAAGTGAGTAAGGAAAAAGAGAGCGTGCGGTAGGCGCGGCGCAAGTCACGGCCCCTCCCGCCTGCGCCAACTGTCATTTTACATCTTTTCAGTTCTTGACATGCGAATAACCTTGTCTGCGCACTCTCAAACCCCTGTAGAATCCATCGTCACGAAGCCGGAGGCTGCCGAGACCAAGCCTGGAGAGTCTGTTCTCGCCAGTGCGAAGCCTGAGGCCTCTGCGAACGGAGGTCAGCAAAAGGAGGAGGCAGAGGCGAAAATAAAGGACGAAGCGCCAGGCAAGACTGCTCTGGAGGAGGAGGACACGGCAGCACCAGAGAAGACTGTTTCGCCGGCCATCTTTCGTCCGAGTCGGGAGAAGACGGTGAAACAGCTCATCAGTTTCTACTATTACTGGAAACGGAAGAGCAACTCCCTGATGCCCTCGGCTTCCGCCTTCACGCATCACCATAATTCTCATCATCATCAACAGCAACATCATCAGACGAACACATCCTCCTTTCGGGGTAGTTGTGTGGAAACCAACTTCAATACGGGCATTGGTAGCCGGAAGAAGAGGCCCACTGGACGTGGAGGCGTGCCCTGTAAGTCCCCCCCCGTCTTTTCGGTATTCTCGCCTCTGTGTGTATCCACCGAGGTCTGAAAAACTGGCAACTTCCGAGGCCTGGTTAGGTATAGTGTACGCCGATCAGCCTTCAGTCAACCACAGGTTTTTCTGAGCTGCCGTCGAATCTCCCCTCCGAGCGTACTGTTTATCTTCATTACTTGTGCTTTTTGCGGTTGCGAACATGACTGATCTAGCCGGCGTCAATGATGCCCCGTGCTGTATGTATCCACGCGCGACGATCCGTCCCCGTAAAGCTGGACAGTTCGAGCCATTCTCTTCGCCTACGCCTGAGTCCGAAGGCTCCAGAACGACTTCCATGTCCTGACGGAGGACTGAGTCGAGCCAGGTTTTGAGCTAACTCCTCCTCAACGGTTTCGGGTTGAGGGCAGTAGCACTGAGCTCCTGAGGTTGACGACGAGGAACTTGTCAAAACCACTTCAGTAGTCTTTCTTGGATTGCCCGGGATATCCTTGTGATTTTGTCGCAGCAAGGGCGAACTGTCCCATTTGAGACGAAGTCGGTGTACTTCACTCGAAGGATGGTCCTGAAGCAGTAGTGGTCAAAGACTTTCAGCTTCTGTTCATCTTCCACGCGCATAGCCCAACATTCACGTTCGTATAGAAGAACGGACCACACAGATGCATGGTACAAGCGAGCCTTTATGGAGATAGGGATATTGTGTCGGGTCAATAGGCACTTTCGAAGGCTGGAGAAAATTTGTCCAGCTGCGTCATTTCAGGAGACAATGTCATCCTTACTCTGTCCATTCGGCAGCAACCTCGCTCCAGAGGTAATTGAAACTCTCTACTTCTTCAAGTTGACAGCCACTAATTTCGAGAAGTGCAGGGATGCAGTATGAAAACACTTTGATCTTCCCAGCATTTATGCACAAACCGAGCGATTTCACGACCTCGTTCACCCGTGACACCATAGACTGTAGATCGCCAAAGCTTGAAGCTAATAAATCGATATAATCGGTATAGTCGAGGTATAGTTGGCAAGGCTGTGTCCTGTCGCCCACCCTCTTTAACTACGCCATTGTTTGGGTTCTCGGGAAGGCTCTACAGGAAAAAGAGGACACTGAGCTTGCACCCGAACGCCGGTTGACTGACCTCGACTATTCCGATGATATCACTTTACTAGCATCAAGCTTTGGCGATCTCCAGTCCATGGTGTCACAAGTGAACGAGGTCGCGAAATCGGTCGGTTTGTCCATAAACGATGGGAAGACCAAAGTGTTTTCATGTTGCATCCCTGCCGAAGAGAAGGCACCCCTCGAGATTAGTGGCTGTCAACTTGAAGTCGACAGTTTCAAATAACTCGGAGCGAGGTTGCTGCCGAATGGACAGAGTAAGGATGACACTGTCTCCCTAATTGACGCAGCTCGACGAGTCTTCTCCAACCTTCGAAAAAGCCTATTGACCCGACGCAATATCCCTATCTTTATAAAGGCCTATGTGGACCGTGCATCTGTGCGGTCCGCTCTCCTATACGGATGCGAATCCTGGGCTATGCGTGTAGAGGATGAACAGAAACTGGAAGTCTTTGATCACTACTGTCTAAGGAGCATCCTTCGAGTGAAGTAAACCGACTTCGTCTCAAATGAGACAGTCC